TACTCGTATAATAAATAACAGATCACAAATGCAAGGCATTTATTTAGGGATTCCCAAGGTTTTTTGTCAAAAATTCACTGAAAAATCACATACTTAGTTAAAGAAACTAACTTTGAAATAATGAATATCCAATGACTTCACTTTTAGAATCATATGGATACGAAATGTGAGAAATACCTTCACGGTGCGGCAGGAAGAAGTAGATCTGATGGACAAAAATGTATTCAACACTGAAGATGTTTAAAGTCAGATGATACCTTATTCAGGGCAAAAATCTGATAATTTTTTTTTCTACAGAACTGTATATATATAACTGCGAATATGTGCCATAGTTATTTGAAAGTGTTTCCTTGCACTTCTACACGATTAGCTTAATACTTATGACAAGATTCTTTGAAACTCTTATCAGAATGTTAGTTTAATGATTTTCGCCAATAAAGCTGTAGGTAAGTAAAAGTAATTACACTTTATATCTGACAGAAATGATGACAAGTGAGCCTGTAAAATACCACTCAACGTTGACATATATGACTGCAGAAATGAAATACGGAACAACTTTTTCAGTTAAAATGCTTCGTTTTTATTTGATGTTTACACGAAAATAACTCTGTCTTATACTTACGGAAGAGAATAAAATGAAATCTCCATGACAGCTGTATATGTCCTAATAAAAGATTAGTGTAAAATTTCTTGGATTATGCCATACTTTTTATAAGATAAATTCTTTGCATTTTAGTCGACTAATAGTCTTACTTACGGGTGTTCGTCAAAAAATTTCGATACATCTTAGATGCTTTGCGCTTAACGCTGAGCGAGAATTTAAAAGAGAAAGGAATGAAATCTAATTTTATGCTTCATTATCTCCTCTGTAAAATATTGTATGCATCATTTAATGGGAAACAAGCTAAGCTGAGTGAAATTTTCAATTAAGATAGCTGAATAAAAGTAGATTAACTGTAGTATAATTGATTGAGGATCAGTCATAAATCCAACGGAAGCTTGAGATTACTCATTATCCACTTGGTTTTTAATTCGACTCACGAAGACAGTCATGACTAAATATTACCTTAGTGTTTTCAATAAAACAAAAAGAGGAAACATTTTGTCTGACAGTGTGAAATGCATTCCAGCTACAAGTGAAGATTTATGTTTTCTAGTTACTCATCGTAACCTTAGCAAAAATATGACTCAAGTGTTTTGCATGAGGTTAAACCGATTGTTCATATTAATATTTCAGTAAATTCTGATTGCGTCGGCAGCATAGCGGTTAGGACGCTTGCCGACCATGAACATGGTCCAGGGTTCGATCCCCGGCCGCCAACGCACTCCTTCACCTCACTAAGCCAGAAATAATCCTGGTAAAGAGGAAAGGTTGGACATGAGACTAGCAACCCCATCTTGTAAAATAAACACTGCTACCGAAACTTCAAGCCATTAGCTTGAAGCCCTATGTTCCACTGGGAACGTGAAGGAAAAAAATTCCGATTGTTATTCTTTTTTGGAAAAAAGTGTAAAATACCTTAGTTTGTATTAAAAAATTGTCCACAACACAGAAACAGATGAGTGTTTTTCTAACAAAGTATTTCCAAATTGGAAAGTTAAAAGTGTTTCAACTCATCATTAGGTTAACTAGTAACTTCATAAATATGTGTTACAGTATATTGCTTAAATTTGTATTATATGAAGAAAATAACTACGGTTTAAGAAGCGTTACAACTATTTTTCTTATGAAATGCAATTCAACAGTCATATGCATATTAATCCACCAGGCGATTAGCTGTGCCAGTGACTTGAGGGCTGACAAGGATTTTGACCCATAATTAATCTAAAGGAACACTGATCTACTAGAAAAAGAGTGTTTCTTTAGATTATACCATGCACAAAACCATAGTGAATACAATTTCACACAGACGAAGTCTCGTTCTTAGGACCATTGTATAGTCAAACTACTTTGGATAAGATAAGTTTTAGAAAAACATGATGCAGACCAAAATTTCAGTACTCATTTAGAGGAAGAAAAGACACAGGTGTTTTGATGGTATAATAAATCGCATTCCTGCATTAGAAGGCACAAAAAGGGCGATACCATGCCTACAATACATATTCTGTGCAGGTAGTTTATTTCTACCTACTTTTCCCGACTATTTTCCGTATTATGGCTCCTTTCTTTTGTCTGCTATTTTTAATTCATCACTCAGCAATATCATGATAAAGGAGAGGAAAGCCTCAAAAATCCAAGGGAAACAGAAAACACTATAAAATGTTGGTTAACTAAATGTAGAGATATGGAACAATGTCTAATCACAAACAAAATGCTGTTACCACATTCATCACTTGAAAGGCTCTTTTTTAAGCAAAATTTATTTCAAATTTTGTAAAATATAATTCAGCCGACAATAGGATATGTATGAACATGACTTCGATACGTTCATACATGAGTTCCTATTTCCCATTAAACTAAAATGTACCTTACTGTCTGACATCACTTGAGTAAATAGCAGGTATAGATAGGTAAAGAATGTCGGAGGCAAAGGATAGATGAACGCTTCAGTCTGCGGGAATTTTACCTTCTCTTTTCTGAATGCTAAGAAATATTTAATACATTAACTACGTGATAATCTACAGTTTTAATACTCTTCATAAACGCTGAAAAAATATATACTTATAGTTTTAATTTAAGGAACGGAGGAGAGTATAGTAGTGTGGAAATAAAAAACTAACCTAACCAGGATTAACAAAAGAGATAAACAGACGAAAATCTAGGCTCTCCCATACATTTATGGTGGTTTCCAGTCAAGTGAGATTTTTGTTCGAAGTTTGGTCACACTGAATTTTAGAAGCTAATGGTATGCTTTGTATTTTTTTTTTATTTACTTAAATAGAACAACAGCTTGGAAAGTGATAAATAACACACAGAATTACTGCCTGTACTAGTTCTAAATGTAATCCATACACTACAGACTGAAATTATGTAAAGGACTGAAAGTTAGCCAGCAGACTACAGAAACACACATATTTTCACAAATTGCTTTAAAGGATATACAAGAATTCCAGGAATACTTTACTGTACATATATCCAGCAAAGTAGTCAAAAACTCTTCATAATATGGTTTAAGGATTCCAGTTTGTTTTGTACTCTGATTTTATCAGTCTAACAGTTCTTACATATCCGGGATTAATGTTCCTACAATCTGGAGAAATATCTGTGTATAAGCTATGGAAAGCTATGTGGACTGAAATGAGGCAATGATGCGTGCTATGAAAGCGTTTAGACAATAACTTTACCGTAGATAATTTCTGCAGAAACCTCAACCAAACATTTTTGAAAGTATTTAAAAATAGCATGCACCAATTAATAATTTTCAGATAATCAGTTTTCTTTTTTTAATTCTGTCAATTAATCAGCTATTTATTCAGAAGTAGTTAAAGCTAACAGGAAGTGTATGAATAAACTGTTTATTGGGAGAAAAATAATGTTTTCGATTTCCAAGATCCCGTTCAAAAAATGTGAAGCTTACTAAATTTCACTTCTAAATTATTTTGTTGAAGTGTATTTCTTTCAGGCACTTTACCTTGTATGGTCGCCTAGCAGCAGCAGGTAAAGACAAAAATAACCCATTGATGTTTGATGATATAATTACCGTGCAATTACAACCTAGATAAATTTTAATTTTTTAAGGGTTAATGAAGCATAATGTAGTGAATTTTCGACAGATTATTAGTTCATCACCTTAATTTTCTTCTGCAATTGCATAAGAAGTGATAAAAGTAATACCTTAAAGATGAACTTACGCCAACTACTTGATAGATAAGTTTGCGAATAAAAGGAAAACTACATGTTGGTTGTAAACAGTTGCATATTTACCTATACTTTTAATTTCTCGTTGACTGAAATAGACTGATCTCATCAGCCTTTTTTCAGCTTATGGTCTGCTAGAACGAGTGCCTCAATATCACTGTGACTAAAACCTCAAACTCAAATGTATGGATAAATAGTTCACACTAGACGACCCTTGTGGCTCACTAATCTGCATAACGCTTTGGCGTTTGAAGTGATAGGTACTGCTTTTGAGTCTGAAGCTGGAACACCTTTGCTCAGTCTTAACCAACTGACGCTCTCAGATAAGATATATCACACGTCATGGATTTCACCGCCACCAACAGCCAAATAATTTCGATGAAGTAAGTCTGGTATCTATTATTTTTTATTTTTATGGCAAAAGTTTAAACTACGCAGTTAATCTCAATCTGTGTATTTAGAATTTTCAAATAAAAATAATAAACAAATTAGGGTTATTCAAAAGTGAACTGAGAAATTATTAATCCTCTGTAAACTGTTGATAAAAATGGATTATTTTGCTTCCCAACACAAAAAGAGTTAACACCATAATTCCTAAGTTTACTTCTAGATTTTATTCTTTCTATTTACTGACAACTTTAAAGCAATTTGCATATTTAGTGCAATTTTGGTTACTTTTTGGCTTTAACTGGTCTTAGCTTTCACTAGTTGAGATTCCAATTCATCTTGATCGTAGGCAAAGATAAATTTGAAAAAAGGATTACATAAAATCTTAGAATTATTTGAGGACAATTCTTTAACAAAATAATGAGTGACATGCTGGGTCTATTTTAACTTTTTTAACTTTTTCATTTTACGACATAAATATTTCTTCTTTTGAATAAAATTATAACTTATGTTTGAATGTTTTAACGCGTGTAACAAATTGGTGATATAATTCTATCACACTTCAGATAGGCATTTTTAGCTACTTTTCTCAAAGTTATTTCCTGGTAATGCAGAAAATTTGGAATGTACAAGCCAATTACTTATGGACCTATTACTTATAAGGCTAGTGACTAATTCATAAAATTGAAGGTACCACTAAGGTAATGTAATTCATTTTGGATACCCTTAATAATATGTCACTGTCAAACTGGCTTTAGCAATAGAGATAAGTGTATAACCGAATCTCGTCTAAAATAAACCACTTTTGACTTACCAAAAATTAATAATAACAGATCACTGATAGCTAAACTGAACAAATAGCAATTTGTTCTTGTATGCATGAAAGAAGTGCGCACAATAACAATACACGTAGCTAAGTTTCCGAGCAAACCGGTACAAAAAATGGCTGTGTAAACAACTCCAATTAAGATTTGTCGGGTAACTGACATTCTTTTAGGTCCCAACTCATGTTCAATCCATATAAACTTTAAATCGTCTACAAGTTTTTGACAGTTTGACGTATTTAAATTCATCACGATTTATGCTGACGTGAAACTAAGGTGTGATTAAAAAGAAGTTTTCGAGATGATCCAGAGTTGAAAGAAATATGATAATTAAATATGCTGAAGGGGAATTTCTCGTCATTTTATCAAAATTAAAGTATGTTTTTTAAAGAAAGGGATAGCTATGCCGATGAAGATTATTGAAAATAAATTTCCTTTTTTTTCGAGACATTAAATGTTTCTTTTGTCATTCGTGACTTTTCTATTGGCTAGTGGGTGATGACCAATAACTTAAAAGTTATAGAATGATAGGAAAAGTGTTATGAACTTATCATGATATAATAATATATTTTCAACATCGTATTACTGAAACTAGAAGTAGATTAGCTGTTCAAACGTGAAGAATCAGATTACATATATCCAATAGAAATTACTATTGCTCAACCATATCAGTTACGTACAGTTTTACAGTAAAAGGTTATATCTTCAAGTTTCCACATACATATTATTTTTAAGTTAGCGCTTCTACATCGCTTTAAGATTAAGTTAACGTATTTATTCCTCATTGACTGTAACATGGTGTGTAAAATGCTCGCCAACCATGCACCTGGTCCAGGTTTCAACTCCTACCAGCACACATCTTTACTGCCTCGTACTAGTTGTTAGCCTCGGAAAGAGAGAAGGTTAGGCATGGGACTAGCAACCCCACTGCTTTAAAAACAACGGTGTTACTGGAAACTCAGAGCTTGAGCTTTATGTTCTACTCATAACACAAAGGTGTAAAAAAGAAAGGAAAAAATGTCTACAACATGTATACTTCTGTGAGTAGAGATATGTTTCGTCTGCAGGTTATCGTGTCAAAAATTAAAGACTAGAACTAAGAATTCCCGGGCTCAAACTGTTGAATAAGACTGCGAACATCATACTAATCTGCTCCTGTATTTTATTGTTTCATAACGTCTTAAAAACTCACTTGTCAACACTGTCTCTTAGTGAATGTTTGTCACTGAAACTCTGGATAGCTTACCCTTCATACACTAGTTCATTAGAGTCGTTGAAATAGGAATGCTAAATCTATTTTTTTCATTCAGTTAGTCTCGTGTCTTCCATGTTCGATTGTTTAGAGCATCAACCACAAATAAATAATCTTGAAAAGTGCTATAACACATAGGTCAAGATACTCATAATACTGATAACTAAACAGCAATTATGTTTCTTTTCAGTGGCAACGTACTTCAGCCTTTCTTATATTTCTGATTTTGAAGTGAAGTCTGTTTGTTACCTTTATGACATATTAGTTATATCTGTTTGTAATTTTACTCTTATTCAATATATTACAGATGAAATTATTGATACAGCTCTTCTTGAGAATAAGAAACATTATATTCACTTGTCAAGGACGAAACAGCTGTCCAGTACTCCCAGGTTATCCAATAGTTCTCTAACCAATATCAGATCATGATGAAATCTTGTAACCACTCAATCAAATCCCTGTAAACCAACACTTAAATTTATATGACAACATGAAAGTGAAGTCCACTTTTTCTACTATAACATGTGCAAAGTCAGTAGATTTCACAGATTTGGTATGAACTAAGAATGTTTGCAGCATACGCCGTGGTAAGTTAACGATATTCAAGCCTCATAACACAGCACAAATCTTCTTAATGATGCCTAAATATGTTAATGCTTAACAACTTTTTGTCTATTTCTGCAAATTTTAGCATATTTACTTGTTTTAGGTGAGTGTTGCGTCGATTATTTTGAGAATATGAGACCAAGCTAACATGGTCGTTTAGTTAAAACAAAAGGAAAAACATAACCGCTGGCAAACTGAAGTCAAACGTCTATTAACAATGTCTAGGTTTGTTGTTAAACCATAAAAAAGCGAAAAAATCTATGCACTTCCTGTGCCCACTTTTCCTTTTCTAACTTTTTCAAGCAGATTGTAGTCGATTGTAATAAGGAAACTCTGTTAACAGGAAATTCTTTAAAATAAAAAGGAAAACATTTGTATTAAATTCTTAGCTTACAGTAGTATTCTCAGTTTTATTCTGTAACTTTTCCTTCTGTTACGTGAAAATGTGTCACAGACATCAACTATGTAGGTTGTATTTCTTTGAGAGTTCTGCTTGTATCTGGTTTGACTAAACATTGTGTTTGGAATTGTGTTTTATTTTTAGAATAACAGGTGATGTCAAAAGAACAAGACTCGTGTGTGAGTAGTCATCTCCTATTGATTTTGTTAAGTAGAATCTCGTATTGGAAACATTTATTTCCCGATACCAAATTGAAACAATTGCCAAAGGCAGGATTTAGTGAATTCATCAAATTTCGCCGGGACTCTTCAGCTGAATATTTTACATACACGGATATATATATATATATATATATATATATACGGCTGGAAATATATTGGAGATATAAGACTGATGAGCAGATAAACTACAATGAATTAATCATACAAAACGACAGGTATGAATCTTTTTCTGGTCAAAACTCTTCGAAGAGTTCCACGAAAATTTGATAAATTCATTAATTCCTGCTTTAAGAACGCAATTTTCAGCGAAGAGACTCTTTTCAACGAATTTATTATCAAGCTGTACAATCGTATATATATGGTTTTGTAAAGAAATTATATCCGGTGAGGGAATTAGGTCAAGGGTGTGAATACATGAAATAATAATAGCATGAAATGAAATTAAAATATTTGTGATTATATTCATAGTTCAAGTCAAATGGCACAATAATTAGTGTCATGTATAGAATAATACATAAGGTGTATAGAATATAAAATGTTACGTAACATGGTGTGAAATTTGACAAAATAGAATTTAATATTGTAAAGATAAAAGGTATACACATGAGTAATTTATGGTTTAAAATGTCAAGTAGGTCAAGTGGAAAAGATTCAGAGTGAGAGTCTTAATAATAATAATGATAATGGTAATAATAATAACAAAAATAATCGAAGTAATAAGGGAAAAGTAGACAGAATAACTGAATAAATAAAATAAATAAATGTCTATCCATCTACGGCCAAGGCAGAAGTAGGGATTGTACATACTTCTTTTGTACACAAAGGTCTGGCTTAAAGTCATGAATTGCCAAGGCCTCAGTTGTCTTTAGAAGTCTGTAACGAAGAAAACGCGGGAACTTAGCATGGATTCTATATATGATCTTGAAATCATAGTCACGGTTGACCGAGTGAGAGAAGTCGATCAGGTGTTCTAGAATAGAGCTTCGCACACATTTTCTTTCTCCCTTGTAAAACCAAGCTGGAACATGTTCTCGTATCCGTGTGAAGAGCGTTCTCTGACTACGGCGAATGTACCTTGCTCCACAAGAGCAGGTGAACTGGTAGATGCACATGGAGGCGGTCAGACGGGGGAGCTTGATAATAAATTCGTTGAAAAGAGTCTCTTCGCTGAAAATTGTGTTCTTAATGCTACAATAGGAATTATTAAATTATTGAAAAAATGCAAATTCCTGCTTTATTAACCTTTATTGGTTGTTTTAAATTCGTATAGGGAAATATATGTTTTCAGTTCTTAAGGAAGCGCCTCCCAGAAAGCACTATCAACGCATTAAGTGATCTAGTGAAACTGAGGTGTAGGAATGCTAAATGCTCTACTGGAAGACATTTTTTGAAAGAATGTCTTCGGATTAATATGTATCCTTGGAAATTTTACAAATACTTGCGTAAAGATCAATTGAGACCTATACGGCCAAATCTATACGTTTTAACTGAATCAAACTCGTTCTCTGAAACAGATGAAACCAGTAATTTATGTGTATTATCAAGTAAACTGCTCCCTGTATAGAATCACTTTACTTTCCTATATTATCTGAAATTCATAAAATATCTCCATGCTATTTCGACGTAGCATGGAGATATTTTATGAATTGAAGACGAAAGAAGCAGAAGAAAAGAAATTGAAGAAGTCTTTTTCTCCGGAACCATTAAATGACATTTTTCCACTGCATATGTCTAATTATGATCATGATTTATGTAATGTTCCGCTGTCAAAAGAACAAGCGGAAATTTTGTCAGTGGGTTTCAAGTCTTGTGTTCCCATGAAAAAAGTAAAGCAAATTAACATGGAATTCTAATTTGAAAATCTTTACGATCAATTTATGGGGCTATACACTACATCCTGTGACAGTGAAAGCTGGTCAGAATCGAAGATGGTTGGCATCGCTCACCAAATTCGAACCACCCCGACCAGTTAAAAGTCACGTATTACCAAAGAACACTGGTGACCATTACACAAGCTCCAAAAAGACAAAAATGGTGTAATTTTACAATCTGATAAAGGACAGAGTGTGGCATTGATGAATAAGTTGATTATATAGAGAAAAATGCGTCAGTTTCTCTCTGATGAATCTAAATTCAAAGCGGATTAATCATGCAAAAGATCAAACATTATTAGCCGAAATAAAAATTATGCAGCATTTATGGCAACTCTTCATAAAGTAATGCATTGATAAGAATATATATAGCAATATCAATCTGATGGGGTCACAAATCCGAAAAATTTACCAACCTGTTAAAATACAGAAACCAGGAGCTCCTTTGAGAGCTACACTCTCAGTGATAAATTCACCCCACCGCAAATTAGCACAGTGGCTAAGTGAATTATTTCAAACCTTGCAGAAACGTTTTGGGACGTATAGTGTCTGATTCATTTCAGTTTGTTAAGCAAATTAATCATGTCAACGTATCTGATAAGCATCTGATCCTATTTCGATGTTACCTCCCTATTCACAAGTGTGCCAGTTGTTGAGACTATTGACTTAGGAAAGCTCAAGACTTTCGATTTCCAACATCAGAATTGAAGAAATTGTTACTTTTATGCACAAAAAATGTTCGATTCCAGTTTGTTGGGTCTCTATTCTGTCAAGCTGATGGTATCGAAACAGGAAGTTTCTAGGGACTACTTTTTGCACATTTATTTTTTCAGCCACAGAAGCCGGCATTTGGCAAAAACATATACAAAAAACAGACGTATACCTGAGATATGTTGACGATATTTTTATTGTCTTTGAGAGTAGATTAAAAGCGGTTGATACAATTCAACTCACGTCATCTGAATCTCAACTTCACAATAGGACACGAGTAAAATGGCACTATTTAATTTCTAGACGTTTCTCTTTTGAAAATGACTGATAGCAAAATTGACAGATCTTTATTTAGAAAGTCTTCATGGA